CAGTCACGTATATTTTACTAATTAAAACAGAGGAATCTTTTTTTTTCTGCTACTCATGTTGAGTGCTGGACTGCTGTGCGGGCGGGTAAAGGGGGTAAGTTTCTAAAGAAACTGTGGTGCTGCATCAGGGGGAGAGTATAGCAATGTAATTTTGTATTATTAACTGAGTTTCCAGTGTTAGCCCCTCATCACAGTGGTTGAAGGAGTTGTGAGTTGTGTGTGAATTTAAGAGGCTGTCTCTCTTATTTCCACCCGGTCAATTTTGCGTCAAAAATAATTTTTCCTGAAACTCTGTCAACAGAAAGACTTTACCTAGGAAAGAACTAAATTAGATTTGGTTTGATTCGAAATAATTTTCTGACTGCATTAGGGGCCATAATTATTTTCCAGTCCGTAGGGACCGTCGCAACGTCTCGAAAATTGAAAAATAGGCATATTTTGTAACATTGTAAAATATTTGATTCGCATAGTTAAGCCACAAAATTTATATCAGATTGCTTAGAAACCTTTCTAGTGTTCCTAGAAAGTTAGAATTTTCCCTCTCAATATATTTGAAAAGGCGAATTTTAGCATATTCTGACCACTAGAATCGCCATCGGCCGATGGCCGTAAATAACCTTGATTTAGACGTTAAGTTTTAGGATTTGGGACCTGGTTGACGATTCTATCCTACACAGCCGTTAAGTTTAGACCTGTATCGGTAAAAATATGCAAAAACCCCTGTACGTTTTCGATTTTTCAAAAGTTATGGCCGTTTGAATCAGCACATGTACGAGCATTCGCGATTTTTTCGCCTACACCAAAATCGAACCACTGGAGCAGATTTCGTCATAAATACAGCTTACCCGCTTTGCAGCCCGGCTTCATGGCTCACTTCAGAATTTTTCTAATAACCAAATTAGCGAAATCCATGATAACTTCAACAAATAGCAAGGTATTGCCTTCGAAAAGTAGGCGGCATCCATCGTGATTCGTGGTATCAAAACAAATGTCGGAATTGGCCACATTTCGCGGTGAATCACCCATTTAACATCGCTGCAGAGCTGAATTTTTTCCAAAATCAGAATATAAACTCTCCATGTCTGGAAGCTGAGGGAGAAATGAAGGTTTTAGGCTTCTAAAGTGAAGAAATAATCGCTTAAATTTAGGTGCAGTTCGATGTTATACTGTTCTCACAAAGGTCCGCACAAAAGAGAAGACCGCTG